ATAACAAGTTTTAATGTTTTATCTTTTCTCTCTTCACCTCCCTTCACCCTGAGATAAGCACACGTTTAACCGCAGCTACCTCTGCAGTACCAGCTGTGCTGCAGCATAACACAACTTCCTCTTGTAGTGCAGTTTACCACAGCTTCCTCTTGTAAAACACTGGCATTTTCCAGCAACTGAGGGGAGTCAGTCCTGCACAGACTGCTCAAAGACCATCTCTCAGTTGTGAAAGAACCTGGCACATGATAGGGACAGTGGTTCTGTGGTTTCCATGGAAAACCATCCAGTGTGTTTTGTGAAATGTAAAATACTGCATGAAATCTGGGTGGGGATGTGGGGGGCAGGAACAAAAATCGTACTGTCTCGTTCACCTTGTGTGTAGTGGGGTGACAGAGTGCAAAGGACTCTGAGAACAGCCATGTGACACCTCTGGATTGACCAGACTTCTGGCTGCCTGGGCTCTCATACGATCCCCCTAAAAATAGCACCTTATGCTTCCCATCGTGGTTGTCCAGCTATTTTAATTAGCCTGTGGTCTCCAGTTTTTGCTTAGTGATTCGTAAATGGGAAATATTTACACTAGGCCAGTAACTCTGCATTCTTCCAACCTCTCCTTAAATTAGATGGATTACAGCTATGTTTATAAATTACCTAATGCATTTGTCCTAATCTCTCCAAATGCTGCTGGCTTCAACATAATAATGGGAGCTAATTTTTAGATCACTCAGACTACTTACAGGTATTTTTGCCTCATCTGATATGTCACAAGTGGGGTCATTTCGTAACCTTTAGTTGAAAGAGTGGTTCCTTGAGTGTCCTGGGACAGGCTGAACCTTTTCTGCACATGGCAAAGTGCTGTCAGTTTCTGCTGACAATTCCTGATGAGAAGGGAAAGATTTCCAAGGTAAATCAGCTCCGAGATGGCAGAGGTACCTGACATGTTTTTGGCTATCTTAGATAGTGCAATCCCTTTGAAAAATGGGCCCAGGCAGAACATTGCTTTGCAGGATTAATCCCTGATTTGTAGAATAATTTAGTCCTCTTCTGGTATTAAGCATTCCACATAGTAATTTTCTTTTCTGCCACAACTGTCTTCCACTCTTTTCAGAGTGTTTAATACTGAAGCAATTATACAAAAGCATATTTTTGAGGTTCTGCAGATGTGATCACAGTATGTGGGATAGCTGTGTTACTGGCAAAAGCATGACTGGTCCTGACTGAAGAGTCAGTTGATTATGGGGGGAATAAGTAGGATGAGTTTGTGACATCTTTGCCAAAACTGTCACTGAGGCTGTGTTTTTAGAGTCCTTCTAGTCTGTATTCTGTTCTGATGCAATGGCCAGGCACCTCCCAGAGTTTTAGGATGAGTGTTCAGAGCTGGAATCCAGACAAGTCATTTCTGAGTCAGCTGAGTCTGGGTGCTATTGATGGCACAGCAGCAGGGAGAGGAGATCAGGAGATTAGAAATTATTTTAAAATTGATTTTAAGGTCTTATTCACAAACAGACAAAAAGTTGCTGGAACCAAAGTCTGCCAGTGATCATAAATGCATTCAAAGCTGAAATGTAGCAAAGTTGGTTGGTTTCGTAAGAAATCTGATTTCAGAGAAGAAACATAGGAAATAATATCTTTTACTCTTTCTGAGGGCAGGATGAAAATAATTTTGATATTGTATTATATGAAACACCATATTATAAAATTATTATGAAAGATGAAATTAAGGAAATATTTCTTTTTCTTGAACCATTCTGAAATTTATTCCAGAGCTTCCTTTTACAGAGACTTTTTACTTTGCTAGGCTTCATTCAAAGCTTCAGTAAGGACAAATAGAAAAAACTTTAAGGGCTTAAAAAATTTCTCTCCTTGTCAGAGCTCTGGGAGTCCCTGGAGCTGGGACTGACAAACTCCAGCTGCTGACAAAGTTTGAATCCTAAGGAGAAGCCCTGGAGAGAGGCTGTGGATGAGTCCTGCCCTGGTTTCATTGCAGAAATTCTGCACAAGGGGTGGATAAGCAGTCCTTCCAGTAGGGTGGAGAAATGGTCCCAATGGAAGAGGCTTTAGGAGTGCTAATGGTTCTTAGGTACTGGGGACCTTTCTGTCTTCACCTACATCTTCTCAGCTGGGATTGTCAGGACAGAAGTTGGTTCAAACCAGGATGTGCAAGGGGCTGGGCCCAGAAGAGGACACAGAAAGAGAGGGGGAATATGGCAGAGACCTACCTGTCATTTCCTCTGATACCAGGTGCAAAACAATCCTGTTGGTGAACATGAGGTGCTGAGCAGAAAATGCAGCCTTGATCTTGCTCCCCTTTGTGAGAAAAAATACCTAGAAGCAATACTTCCTTGCTTCACTGCCTTTGTTTGGCTGATATGACCTCGAGGCTGCTCTGTCAAGCCAATGTTCCACACTCATCTGTCCAGTGCCCAGATATCACGTTATTCCACTCACTGTGATAATAATCAACAGATCATTCAGTCTGTAGCTACCAGGTAAGAATTGAACCTGCATTGCTTGGCTGGACAAAAAGTGCTGTAAGCAAACAACTGGAAAGTCCTATTGCTCTCATGGCTTTCTAAATAGACCCCTGGCTTGTTAGTGCCATGAGAATTATAAACCATTTACTTTCTACAATCAAAACAGTTTGATTTTTGCATTTTCCTAGTTCAGACATTTTCATTTCTGTTTATAATCAGTTCCACTTTTTGCTTTCCATATACCAGCAACTTTTCGCATGAGATTCGTGCATTGACCCCTCGGGGTCTGCATACTGCTATGCTGGGATTTGCAGCTAAGGTAACAAAGGAAAAACCTGTCTCTTTCAGTAGGGCAGAACTCCATTTATTTCCCTGGAGAAAGTGTTCAGGGATGGGATACAAGTCAGAAAAAGCTGAAAGCTACTGCTCTTGCATACCGTTCTCATGTCTGTATTCTCAGCATTGCCAAGCATACAAAGTTTCAGATGTGTGTGTATGTGTGAAAGATAGAGTTCATTATACACACATACATACATTTTCCATTAACTCCTGTGGAAATTGCATACTCTTTCCATATAGATTTAAAATTTCAGTCTAAATTGCTGTCTACAAAAGTTCAGTGTGATCTGTTACTGCTCTACACTCACTGAATGGAAGCAGCAGGAATTTTTACTTTGTAAATTTCCTGGGAGCAGGATAACAACATCTAAGTTCCACTGGGTCATGTTTGCTGTGTGTTATTCAGTAATTTTCCCCAGAAGTGATTTTGTTTTAATGACAGGCCATTTGATCCCAGAGTCTCATATGAGCACTGAATTTGCAAGTATATATCTTTATTACCACCATATTTGAGTAAGCCTGTCCCAAGATTTGAGTCCTTACAAAGCTGGAGTCTGTGAAGCACATTCATCATGATGAATGGTGTTAACCCCAGCTACTTTTGTGTGAGAGGCCTGTTTCGGATTTTCCAAATCATCAACCACCCTTCCTGCACTAGCAGTTACAGTTTCCATAGGGGTCTTTCTAGTTGTGATTCAGCCTCTAAGCAGTTCACAAGTTCACAGGCTTATAGAAAGCAGGGCTATACCTGCCCACTTCATAGACAGCAGAGATGGGTTTATTTTTAGCACAAGTATTCCAGAAATACATTCCACTCCTCTTTAGAAATGTGTGGGAGAGACAGGCACATATACAGATGGTTTTGCCTACATTAGTGGCAGTGGATGCCTGAAAACTACTTTTCCACTGTCTGTTTTATTCCCAAACTTGGTTTTTTTCAGTGTGCACCTGTTCTCTCCAACATCTGAGTTCATAGGTGCCATGACTCATGATACACCAAACCTTTGTGCGTAAGTGCTCTTACAGGTGGAGGACATGGGAAGCTGTTGGAACTGTGTAGTTCCAGACCAGAACTTAGCAGAAGTGCCCTGATGTTTGACAAGACCAGCATTCAGCTTGGACTGTGTTAGAAGAAACACTTGAGCACCAAAAGCCCAGACCAGGAGTTTGGAATGGTCTTTGTAAAATTTCCCTGCTGGTAGCTAAGGTGAACAATACACTTCTCTCAGGTGGGGAATTCAAAACTGAAGATTGCTTTGGAGAAGGCAGGTCACTGTCCCTCCAAAGAGAGGTAAGTCTGGGTTGCTCTTGGATCTCAGGGACTATTATATCATCACAAGCATCCTGGTGCTTTGAGATTCTCAGGCAGAAGATATTGTGTGGTTGTTGCCTTGTTCATGCTGAAGCAATGTAATTAGCAGCTCTTTTTAAAATGCAAATGACACTGGGCTCATGTGGAGTTCTGATCTGTCATGGAAGCAGGAGTTGGGCTGTAATCACAGGAGATCCTGCTTCTTATTTTGCTGCAGGTTGTGGTTCAAGTCCAGTGTTATACTGAGCCTCAGTAGAATCTCATGACTTCAGTAAGGAGCTGTATGTACCATTGTGGCCCAGGGTGCAATCCATTGTTTAGATCTGCAGTACAAAAACTTAGCTTGTTGACTTCATGGCATATTTCCCCTATTATTCAACATCCTATTGCAGAGTGCCAAATGAAACCCAATGCCAGCATGTGCCTCCTGGGAGGATGGCTGATCTTGTTTGCTTTGGAAGGACTGTGATATGGGGTCCTTACTCCAAGAACACTGGCTACATTTGTCCAGCCTTGATGATGAAATGAGCTATTTATGAAAAAGCATCCTTTGGACAGTAATGTGTTACTCGGGTGCATACATACACAGTATTTTTAGTGGTGACCTTAATACACACTTTGACTCCCACCTGTAGACACAAAAATGCACTGCTCTGAGGTTTGATTCATTGGCAGTAGTGAGCCAATTGCACAGCACTGCTTTCTGTATTAGTTATCTCTCAAGCATTACCAGTGGCGAATCTGAATGTAAAAATAGCTGATGACTGTTTGTTTCATCTGTCTGTTACTTGACACCGCATGGTTATTCCAATACGTATGTTTGCCTCTTCCCCACCATGATCTCCGTTTGGTTTCCCCTTGCCTGATAACTATTTAAATACATTTTACTAACTTCGGATTCCTTGCTCATTTCACTTCACCTGGCTGGGCAGGTCTGCGAGGGCTCAAGGGTTAGCTCCTCTGCTTTTGTTGTTTTATCTATTTTTCAGTCATCATTTTTATTCAGATAACCATGTTCAGAAGAAAGCCCGACATGCATAAATAATGGGAAGTGCTATTAGTAAGCAGGCTGCTGTAAAACTTGCTGGGGCTTTGACTTAAGGGAAGAAAGTGCAGCCCTGCACTGTCCCTATCAGGAAGCTGGAGCATAGAAGGTAAGAGGGAAGCATATGGATGTTTTTAAAACAAGGAAATTGTGAGGAATGGTGGTTTCTGAGCATGTGAATGTGTGTGCACTCAAGAATCATTGTGTGATTGATCAGGTAAGAGAAATCAAACAGCATTTAAACATTTTCTTTGGTGATTAGAGTTGGAAAGTCCTTTCATTTTGTCTAGCTTTTTTTCTGCTCTGAGAAATGCAGAATTGTCTCTGAAAGTTTGTGTGTGGAAAGTGACATACACAGAGATTTGTATGCAGTGATTAGTTTATGACATATCATTATTTTATAAAGGGGCGTGATCTTCTTAAAAGACCACTACATTGCTATGAAGCTCCATTTAATTGTCTGGTGCATTGTGCTGTAAGCAACTTTAAGCAAATACATTGATTGTATTGTCCAGATGATTAGTGCCTACAGATAAGCTACTTTTAAAAAGTTTTGTGATTTGTATAGGGGTTTGAAGGCATTTTTGCTTCCTTTTTTGGAATAACTAGGAATAAAATAATTTAAATATTTTATAGGAAGCAGTTAGTATATTACAGAATCTGAAAAAGTAAAATAGTTCAAATATTTAGTCAGTGCTAAGAGGCCACTATAAATTACTGTGGCTATGACTTGTATCCAATTTTAATCACTGGAAAATTTCTTAAATGGCATAAGCTTTTCTGCCTCCAGTTGTTACAGAACTTAATCTGCTATCCCAAGGAACTGCATTTTATTAGCCTAGCTGCAGAACTGAGAAGCAAAATAAGAACAGAAATAATTAAAATTGAGCTTGAGAAGCCAAATTGGTTATGCTTTTTTAAATGGCTTGTGAACAGACAATATGATTAAATCTGAATAAGGAAAAGTTCTGCAGCAAAAGACCAAAGTGATTGGTTCACAGTGACTTCATACAGTACCAGCTATAGAGCTCCTCACTAGTCCTCTGACATTGCTGGGAGAGAGGCTGGGGAGAAGGAAAAGTGAGAAGAGATAAGGACAAATAAGCTTTCTGGGCAGGATCAAAGGCTATGGCTCTCTACCTTCACTTCTTCAAGGAACTGTCTGTGTTTTATACAGCAAAGCAAATGCCCTGAGCTAAATTATTGAAGGATGAGGTCTGTGACATATACTAGCAAGTAAAAGATTCCCAGTACATTGGAGCCCCAAACCAACTACATTTCTCCATCCTTCCATGCTTGTCACTAGAAAGGTATTTACACACACATTATCAACTTCGTTACCAAAACAGTAGTAACAGGGCCTCTCTGGTGAACTCAAAGCCACAGCTGGGTGGATGTATGCATGTGTAATTCCATCCCAGCACCTCAAACCAAAAGCACACAGAAATTTTTCTCTGTAGCCCCTTATTCCTACCTGCTTCTCTGAAATGCTTATCTTGCCTGTACTTGCAGTACTAGAGCTGTGCAAAATGTCCACAAAAATGTATGTTCCTCCAAGACCAGGGAAAAAGCCAACTAACCCTGTGAACCATGTTGGGAGAAAATACCACTCATCTGTATCAGTCTTTCCTGTCTTTAGTCTAGCTGAGTTTACAGACAGGGAAAGTTGCTGGAAGAGGTAAAATCTGCAAATGGTTTTTAGCTGCAGGCTTCACTGTGCTGACTTGCCTGCAGCTGAGGTGCCAGGTCACACAGAGCTTTGTCTACTATAAGAGAGTGAGTTCATTGCTTTCAGAGGTGCATTGCTTGAGGTAGTGTCACATTTTGGGATCATGTGTCTGCGAGCCAGCTGACAGGTGTGTGGGGAAAAGGACCAAAGTGGGAGCTGCATGGGTGCACTGATAGGGAAACTTTACCCTTGAGAAAAAGTTGATCCTCTTCAATCAAGCCTGCATAAGTTTTTGGATGGGCCAATGATTACTTACACATATATATTTAAAGTTGTGTGTGTGTGTGTGTGTGTATATATGTTTATATGTATGTATATATGTATGTATGTATGTATATTTGTGTGTGCATGTCAAGCTTGCTCTTCTGTCTTAGTGCTTGCCATATTTTTATGGCTCTCAAGTGTGTGTGGTGGGAGAGACTGCCACCAAGACCCCTGTCCTTTACCAGCCTCAGAGAAAATAAGGAGCACTGAAGCTGTAAGAGGACAACCCTTACCCAGAAGTAAAGTTTCCTCTCCCTTGGGTTTCCCTTCCAAATGATCCCTTTTGGACAGGAATAGAAAGCAGATAATTAATTATAGTCCTAGGTTTCTTTATCATCCATCTCCTGCTTGAAAATAATGATATACAAGAAGGCAGTAGCTAGTAATGATTAATCTAAATCATCTGGTAACAGTTAGACCAATCTTTTTATGAGCCAAGCAGGTCAAATAGGGATGCATCTTTATTTTCAGCCTCTCACATAGCTACATCCCATTAATTTCAAGGATGCTTTCCCTGTTACTTATACACTGTGTCAAAGGCTGTTTTGGAGACTGTCATAGGGCAGTAACAGTCAGGTACACAAAGTCCACCTAATTCATACTTTCCACTTGGAAAAGACAGATATGAAAATCTCTTCAATTTTTTGAAGAATCTCTAAAAGACATATATTTGATAAACATTTGGCTACATCTTAACATGCAAAGTCAGCAAACAATAGTGTCCAGCAGTTTGCAGCTTCTGCAGATCCATAGTCTCAGATGTGCCTATATAATTTTTACTTGGATCGGACATAAGCACTCATACTTTAAGGCCAGCTTGGCCTGCCTATCAGCTTCATTATAGACCCATGTACAATTTTGCATGCTTCTGATAGCTTTTGTTCTGTTGATCACGTGTCCTCTTCCCATCCTTTGCATGTTTCACAGCACAGTGGTCCATTGCGCAGAAATTGGATGTTGGGGCAGAAGAAGAAGCATACTCAGAGGGAACTCACCCCTTCAAGCTGCAGCCGGGGTTTATGCTGAGGCAGTGGGGCAGCATTACTTATTGTGATGATGTTGGTCATTGAGACTCTTTGTTTTGACTGATCTGCTTTGAAGTAGTGACATTAGGACTTGGTCTGTTTCTCCAAAACTGAGAAATTATTCTTTGCCCATGTTTGTGAATTGAATGAAGCCATAGACAAGTAGCTAGAATTGCCACTTTGGTTATGTGCAAGAATTGAGGACAAGGGCTGGGAAAGAAGTAGCTGGTGATAGCACTGGCCCAATGGTGATGCTGTTGTCTGCCTTCAGACTTCTTCAGAGGGTCTGGGTGGTCTGGAAAAGCACTGTGATGACAGCATCATTGAAGTTGCTGAGGGAATGAATCAGCCAAAGTCATCAGTGTCTCTCTCTGGGAACAAGTATGGATTCTGATAAAAACTCTTGATGTTTTCCTCTCAGTCTTTTGCATATATCCATTACAGAATCATTGCAAGAAACACCATAGCTTGTGCATTAACTGAGAAAGAATGAGGAATTGCCTTGGGGTCATACCATTTATTCATAACAATTAATCTCTGATAGGAAGAGGGAGTCTGCATTACCCAGGGCAAAACCAAAACAACTCCTGTGCACAGTGAAGAGGGAACTGGAAGGAGCTTCCATCTTGCTCAGGGTGAGATTTTTCTCTTGGATTTGCTCCACAAAAAGAGGACAGTAGTATGGTCTCCAGAGATACCTGGGGGCAAGGGTGAGTGGGCTCTCCCCTGCTGTCCCTCTCTGAGTCCTCACACAGGTGTTAGCTGTCCCATGGCCATCTTCCATATAGCAGACAGAAAGCAAGCCATAGCTTTTGTCCTTCAACTGGAATGTCTCTGCTGTAATCACAAATGGGAAGCACTTTGTCATCAGAGAAATGTTATGTGAAAGGATGGTTATGTGCTTGTGTCATATGCTCTGGCATGTATGTGTGTATTACCCTCCCTGCCACACTCCCAAGAACAGTTCTTTTGACTGCATTTGAAAGCTATAGCAAGATGTAAGCAAGAAATAGCTCTGTTCCTGCAGCCTGAGCCAGAAAATTTTGAAAACCAAAGCTTCCACCTTCTTCCTTACTTCTGGTACACATATCTGTTTGTCTTTGATGACACAAGACAGGTATTTCAGGATATTGCCTGTCCCTAAATCCTGTGGAATTCAGTGGGTGAAAAGACTACTTAGAACTTGGAACAATTTTGAACGTAGCACATAAAAGTGGCTTGAATTTTTTTCTTTATAAAAAACAGACCTACAAAATCTTTGTCCAAACCTTGAAAGTATCCAGAAGTTATAAAGGAAAGGAGCGAGACTACCAGTAAAAGAATAATACTTGTTTTCTGCAAGCCTGTTATTTCCTGAGACTGTATCCTGTGTGAGTGGGTGTGGGTCAGACTCTCCTTGTCAAGAAGCTTAAATGTAAGCTTAAGTGTAAACTTGACAGTGCAGGTGGTATCAGTGTGTTGGGGCTGACGGGGAGAGGGCAGTGTAAGTGGGGGATGGTTTCAGATTCCCAAGCCTGGAAAGAAAAGTGAGGCATGGCTAGTTGCTAGCTGCAAATTTCCTTGAGTAGGTCACAGAGGAGAATGCACCTGCTTCCCTCCTGAGTCTAACATACTTGCTGATATCATTAAAATTTTCCCATGACAGGGGATGGGACTGTGTGGCGTGCTCCTGATTACAAGGCACCACAACCACTACATTTGTTTTCTTGTCCATGTATTTTATTTCTCTTCCCCCTTTATCATCTCCCACCTCGAGCCATTGCAAGCCTGTGATACTCTGCAACTTTCCCTCTCCTGTGGGAAAATTTCTCTCCCATTCAGGAATTGAAAACTCAGAAGCTTTCATCTTCTAAGCCTTTCTTGAGACTGAGTGGAAGGAGATGAATACCTGTCTCATCAGCCAAAATCCTGCCAGTGATCAGTGTTGTATCAAATGCTGTACCATTGCACTGTCAGTTGTCACCATGAGCTAGTGAGGAAGGTTTGAGTTTTAATGATCTCATCAAGATACAGGTATCAAGCACCTGAGGCAAAGCAGATATCTTTGCAGTCAGTCACCTGCAAATCTGGATGGATTTCACTGTACCATGTAATGTCAAGCTACAGTACTGTACTCAGTTGAAGGTGGGTTTTTTTTTTTGCAGAGACTAAAGTACCATCGCTTATGAAGGGCAGTGGGAAGGCATATTTTTTCCTTAACTGACAAAAGTTAATTTCTTCTTGTGCAATTCAGAAAACATAGATTTGGTTCCCTGCCCTGCCACAGATGCTCTGTTTGGTCTTGGGCAAATCAGTCAGTTGAAGCTGGGCCTGAGCTGCTGATCTGTAAATGAGACAGAAATCCTCCTTGCAGGAGGAGAGTTTGTAAAGATAAATAGCCACGAGGTGTTCATGTACCGTATTGCTGGGGAGCTGTATAAATATCTTGGTGTATTATGACTGACCTAGTTACAGACAGTGGCCTTTTCCAGGCAGACATTTAATGCCAAGAAGTGCACTGTTTGGGTTCAGTTGCTTAAATGTCACTTGTCTGTGCTGACTTTGGGTCATGGGAGGAGCACCGTCCCTTTGCCTTGTGTTTCTCGTAGACTTGTGCTGTTTGTCAAATGCTGCAGCTGCCCTTTGCCTGTGCTAGTCATGTGCTCTGTGCCTTTGGCTTCCCCTGTCACGTCTGCATGTTACTGGCTCTTCAAAGGCAGTGAATAGAGCTTATGTGATGGAAGAGGTGAACAGGAGTTGCAAGAAAGCCTCAGTCTAGATACAACTCTTTCTGAGAGACATCTCCTTCTTCCAGACTTAACAGGCCTGTTGGGGCCTTTGGAGGACATTGGGAAAGGCAGTCCGGAGACCGGCTGGAAATAACTGCTGGGTCTTTGCCATTGAACCAGAAAGGGAAAGGTAGAGACACTTGCCATGATTCTCCATAGCTGTCGCAAGCAATCTCTGTTCCTCCCATTTTTCTTCACGTGAGGTCTTCATCTCCCAGTGCTTGAAGCTTTGTGGTCTGAGCTGAAGAGGTAAGCGTTTCAGCTGGGGCCGGAAGAGATTCACATCCTTTGGGGAAAGGACACAGAGCAGGACACATACCACATGCTCATTAGCTAGGTACACTCCCTCCTTGTGGTCATACTTCCACCAGATTGCACTGACCTTCGTCGAACTGATGAGTCCCTGATTCCAACTCCCATGGCAACAGATACTGTAGCTTCAGTAGAGCTCACTGGAAAAAAAGACTTCAGCTCTTTTCTTCAGAAAAAAAAAAAAAAGTGGTTTGATTAAACAAATAAAATCACAATCATATTCATTTTAATGACACTTCCCCTAGAAAGAGAATTGGAAATGTATGGGGTTTATAATTTGAAATATTTACTTAGGGAAATTTCAAAACAAGATCACACTTTCTGTTGCATTATCATCAGAGTATTGTTTGACATAGGAAATAAAATGAAAAGTTTTAGTTAATGTTAAATAGCATACACCTGCTCTGATTTAAGGACAGTAATAACATAGTATTTTAACTATTATAGTATATATTACATGTTATTTCTCATGACCTATAGTGTAAAAATAGTGAAATAATTTAAAGTAAATTTTTTTTAATTTTAAATTAAATTTAATTTTAAATTAAATTTAATTTTAAATTAAATTCCATGTGCAATTTCAGAAACTATCTAGGTGAGAACAACATCCCCTAACACATACACAAACACACTTCCAAAGGATGATATTGTCCACAGGATGGCAATTCAGATTGGCAGCCAGCTCTGTTCGTCCAGTCTGGGACCATACCATGTCTGGGTCCACACCACTCTTAGATCTAGGTATTCCAGTAAATATTGCAGAAAAGAGCAAAATTACTTTATCTCAAATGCGCTGCTGTTGTCAGTGATGAGCGATACAGGTTAGAAAATGAGAATTATCTAGAGGACACGATTTGTGGCCCAGCAATGTGGTATTGGTTCCAAATCCCTTTCCTTTGCATATTGATCTGAATACCTCATAGGGGTGAGGTCTGGCTCCTCACAGCTGTTGAATTTCACTTTCCTGTGGTTACAGTTGCATATGTAGCTTCTGAATAGTGCACCATTGTTGGCTTAGGAAGTAGATGTATTCAGAGTCACCAATTTTGTTCTGTTATTCTGCTGACGTCAGTAAAATGACTCTAGATTTATACCAGTGTAACTGAGAGCAGAAGCTGGCCCAAAGTCAAGAACAGTCTCTCCTCTTCTCTGGCCCAGAACAAGCTGTTCGCAACATAATTGCCAGGCCAAATCCTCAAGGGGAATGGGCCTAGTCTACTATACTGGTTTGGTTAAGACATATGGTTCCTTTGCCTTGCTTTCCAGTACAATGATCAAAGATCTGATGCTGGTATAGCTGAAGTCAATAGCAGGAGAACTCACTTTGGTTTCCCCTTATGACTGCAAAGCGTAGGTGAAAGTGATCTTGTTGGATGTGGGAAATGGAGGCTTGTGCTAATAGCTTTCATTTTATGGCCACATCAATCCAGAAGATGCCTTTCTTGATAGTTCAGGGAAATGCATCTTGAGCACCACTGACTCTTGGGAGGCAGCTCCCCTCCTTGGCGAGGGCCTTGTGATCCTCCCTTGGGTCCATATGCCCCAAAAGCTGCTCAGAGAGGTGGTGTGCCTGGAGCATCCCAGGCATCAGAGCAGATCAGAGAGAGCATTTGTCTCCGATACAGCCCAATATGACCAGCCCCCACACCCTGGCAGTCCAAGCAGCCCCGCACAAGGGATGTTCAGGTATTCTACACCAGACCACAAGGGTTTTTTATTAGTTCTCCTGGACATCCTTCTGGCTCCTTGTCTCTGGCAGGGAGTCACAGGGTGACCATTAACTCCCTGACACCTTCTTGTCTGTTTTTCTTCTTGTCTGCACAGTGAAGACATCAGTGTTGTGATCACTGACCAGCAGCAGCATACTCCATAGTCATTCATGCGTGATCACTGCAATCATACAGGATTTTCTGGCAATATCCAAGAGAGCTCACTGAGCCAGCCCCACTCAGGCCAGGGAGGGGCTGCCATTGACTGGGAGCATTGTCTCAGCCTGCTGACCAGGGCTGTTTCCATCCAGCCCTCTCATTTGATTATGAACTCCTGTATGTGCCATGAACAAATGTGCACCTATGCAAAAACCAGGATTCTCCCATTTCCTATGATAAGAAGCACTAACTATTCATTGTCATGATTATCTCCTGGAAACCCAGAGCAGCAACATGTGGAAGCAGAGCACACTGCTGAATAAACCTCAGCCAGCAGTCACCATAGGGCTCTAAGTTTTGGGCTGGAGGTGTGGATGGGTGCTATATAGAGAGCACCACATAAAAAAAAAACAGCTCACAAAGATTAAAAAAAAAAAAAAAAATCTTTCCTCCCTTTCCCTTCCCATTCTTATGGGTAGTGCAGTGCTACTGACTTTAAACTGCCATGCAACTCCCAGGGGTGCTGCCAAAATGCCACTGTAATGTCTCATGGCACAACACTTCAGCCAAATACCACCCTAAGGGAGTGGGGGAACCAACTGGCCCTTTATATATTGCAGCAGCAGTGATGTCATATGCTCCAGCCGACTTTGCTGGTTTGCCCAGCTTCTGGCTAGTGAAAAAAAAGGTTGACATTCAGTCTGTGCCAGGCCAGGAATAGTCTGTAATTTAACCTCCTCATCACAACTTGCAATGTACTTAAGAGAGACACTGAGAAAAGTCTCATAGTTAAAAGAGAGGGGAGGTTGGTTTCTGATTCGGCTGCTTGAAATCTGTATATTCATGCAAACTTTTTCAGTAGCTCATATCAGATGATGCCTATTGTTAACCCCTCACACATTCCTCAGCATTTCCAAGCAGTTCTAAATGCCCAGCGCTGCTTTCCTCTGTCTTTAAAACAAACTGAATTCAGACATCCTTAAATGTTTGAACTAGCTGAATCCTGGCCTAAGCTCAAACGCTGCACCTTGCTTACTGGCTGCCACGTTTGTCCAGAAAGGTAAAGAAATGGGGCTTTACCAAGTTATTAAACCAGTCAAGAACAGCTTCTTTGCCGAAAGTTCAGAAGTTGCTGTCATACCTATACAAGCTAGATCAGTACAGTGCTGCTGCTTCCCTCCAGTCCCAGTAATGACCTACACCTTGAACACTTGGTGCAGATACAGCTTTTCTAGCTTGAAACATTACACTGCCCAAGTACAAGTATTATGTCCAGGCAAAACAAGGATCATCACAAGGGATTCAGAGACAGTGACAGTCACTATTCTTTTCTTGATCAGTGGCGCCAAGTTGTTTTTGTAACAGTGACTCCATCCAGGAAAATTATTTCCATCTAGGAAAATGTTTATAGTTACTCTACTCACTTTTCAGCAAAAGTTCTCAGTTTACAAGGGACAGTACGTTTCTCCAGACCTCTATCCAGGAGATCTGAAAGGCAAGGTTCCTCCTAGTTCAGGCACCACCTAAATGCTGATAAACATTGTGCTGCTGTAATTTAGTCAGCAGCCCTGTTGATGAGTGAGTCAGAACATAATCACCATCTCCCATGGCTGTGTTGGTTTTGCACAGTTAAGAGTACCACAGAAGCAGTAAAACTGAAATTTAACCTCTGAGCAAAGAACTGAGTACACATTTCTGAAGTGAGGGTGCCCTTTGACATCTGTCTGCAGCCAGATGTAGTGTTGTTTTTTGAGTCTTTTTCCTTTAGTTTTACTTTTTTTTACTCAGACTTCTTAAGCAGACCACAGAAAGCTCTGATTGGTACAGGCTTGTCCCTAAATACACTGATAACTGTCATTCCTCAGGTAAGGTGCAGCAGACAATCACAGTGGGTTGGTCCTTGTTGCCACTTTTGCCAGTAGGTTTTTAATATCGTGAGCTGACTCAAAAGTTTCCTTAGAGAAGACTGTGCTATTTGCATTACCTCAGGACCAGGCAGGAAATCAATATATTCTTGCAAAGATTAAGCAAACTAGCCTGAACCTTGGGGGTTTCCAGAGCAAAAGAACAGCAGCAATGCATATTCACCATAGCTGAGCTTTCTTTATCATCTCCTGACTCTGGTTCACGCATGGAAGCAAAAAGATGTTTTGTTAACTGCCCCTTACCATCCCAGCTGTCCACCTTTCCTCTCCTTTACCACAGGCACTGTGAAAACCATGGACTTTCAAACATCAGCTACTTTAGTTCCCAGTCCACCAGATTGATGTCTGTATTTATTGACATAGAAAGTCATATACAGATGGAGTGGAGCCACATATTTTCCTGAGTCCCTCTGAAAGGGTAGCACAGCAGGGATGTAGACAGCAGTAAGGAAGAAATCTTCTGGCACAACCCTTCATTTTAGCCAGGAATTGTCACCCAGCCTTTGCAATGGGCAGTGTGCCATTGCTCACTCAACTGCTAGTCTTTGCTGGGGCTACCAGAGTGTGCTGGAGATTGTGACAGTTGTTTGCTAGGAACCTGACTGCACTCCACAAGCTATCAAATGCTCCAGGTGTTTGGCTGTTGCTGCTCTGGGATGGATAGCTGCCTGTCTTTTTTGTAAGAAAGACTGTAATGGTTGCAAAATGTGAACAAACAAATTAATGAACGAATAGGAGACAATCTTCAGATCATTCAAACAAATGTTTTTGTTTTCAAATTTTAGAGTTCACTTAAGAGCAAAAAAATGCTGAAGGTCAGAAACATCCTCGGACACTACTTCTATAAAATCTACGTCACTGGACTACCTCTACCTACTCACTAAAGATGGTTAGAAAAGAAGCCATATACAAGTATGAGAGTGAGTTCTAAAGACAAGAAGCAAATTACATGGCAAGTATGTACCTGTATTTCCCATTTTTATAACAGTTAAGAATCAAAACTAGGAGAAGGATGGTCTTTAATTTTTCTATTTTATCTAGCTGCATTATACACAAAAACGTACAGGGGGGTAAAAGTCACTTTTAAAAAATGTTTGTACAAAGTAAGATGGAGATGCTCTCTTAAGCTTATTTCATTTCTGGTGTAAATCTATTGTAGTTATACATAAGTCACTGGAATTGCATGGCTGGAAAAACAGGATCTAGATTCACTATGACACTTGGAGTCTAAAAATAGGTTGGCTGAGATTTTTTAAAATAGAGAAGGAAGGTGAGGAGTGTTTTCGTTTGAAAAAACAACTCAGCCTGAGTAATTCAGCTGATAAGTTGATTAAGCTCAGCTCTGACTTTTCATATTTTGACCAGCACTGATAGGGAAAAACAAACTCTTTCCAAGAGTCTCACTGAGATTGGCAGAGGTAGAATCATGGATTTGGACAGCTGGAGAGGCTGAAATCTAGATCTAAATTTCATTGCTTAGTTCTACAGTGGATCCAAGCTTGAGATGGAGATACCTTCCACTTTCATAGAAGCTGCTACATATGTGAACTGTGTTGTTTCAGCCCATCACAGGTTCATAATGCCATTGTTTGAGGAAATGGAGATACACATCAGACTTTCCTTAGAGAGTGAGTTTTAGACAGCTCTTGAGTATGCTTTTAAACTGAGTCTCCCAGTAGTTTACCAATACCCTACTCAAGTCCTTGAGTGTGAGAATAAGCATCTGAAGAGTTTACAGAGAAAAACTGTGAAGAGTTTTAATGTATAGATTTCAAGTACAGCTGAAGGGTCTATTTTGCTTTTCTTGTTCCATCCAAAGATTCCCCCACCCTGTATTCAGATTGACATGGAGATAGACAAAAACCCCAGGCCGTGAGCCCTGACTGTGCCTCATAATCAGGGATTAATGGAAGGCTGTGATATTTTATAGTTGTGTTGAATGGATTAGCTTTAGCTCTCAGCCGTTCTGGAACTGAAACCAAATGTTCCCTGTGCTACTTCAGTGGGTCTGCTGGAGTCCCCTAGGCACTCCTGCCTTCTGCTGGCTAAGCTGATGTTAGCAGCCACTTCAGCTTCAACACACCAACCCAAGTGTATTTTGCTGTGGGTGGCTGAAGGATTTACCCGAGCAATATTTGCCTGGAACGTGGATGGTAAGCCCTCCTTACCTGTGGGGCCATTCAGCTTTCTCAAACAAGGGTTGTGCTCACAGCAATTGTCATGACAAAGCTGTGACAATTAAGTTTTATCAGCTTTTCTTTCATTTTGTACATTTCTTTCATTCATTTTGGCAATGATGTACCCAATGTCATCTTTTTTGGAGTATTTTTTTTACTAATTCTTCCTGACCAAAACTAGCTAACCTTTGATAAATGCATGTGCAGCACTTGGAATTGTTTATGGTTGGAGATATGGAAAGAGAAGTACTTGAAATTTGTCTCTCATGTCCTTGTTTAAGAGCACAAGTAAAAAATATGAGTGAAGCCACTTATTTTTAATGGCTCTTTCCAGAAATTAAATTATCTACCATTATTTTGAATTGATCAAAATAACAATGATTTTTAATGATGTTCATTGTGTTGCTAGCATCTTGCTTAGAATACATGTAGGAGCAAGTGAGTCAATGACTGATATATCTGGAAAATGTTCTCTGTCTGGTAGTGTTAATATAAAAAAAATTGATAATTTATAATTTTTGGCTTTGCAGAGAAGAAAATTTCCCTCAGCTGTTCTGTAAGATGAGTCAATGTGCAGCCACACCTTCCAGAGGAATGGCTTTGTGCTTGTGAATTGCAAACAGCTGGAACTGCCTCACACAGTCACCTGCCTGTTCAACATCTGGAGTTAATCCTCTGGATAATTCATTCATGAGTCTCATGAACAATGCAGGGGAATAAGAAACATACAGAAGGACATAGTGATTCCTCAAGTATTGGGAGTCTCCTGGATGATGCAGACAGAGAGGTGAGCAGCCTCACAGATCGGGCCTTCAAAAGTTTGTGTGTAGCAGAACTTGAAGACTCTTACAATGAACCAGAACTTGCCATTTCGCCAGACTTTGCCCTCCAGTTGTCTGCTAAAATTCACTCAGGGACGTTAAACCATGACATCAGGAAAGGCAGTGTTTGTGACAAGCTAACAGCAAGAAACAATGAACATACAATATGGGCTTCCACATTCCAGCAGTTACCAAAGTGTGCTCCGGAGGAGAAAAGGATTGCTAAAAATAACTCCTTTGCCACAGAAAGGAAAACACTGAGTTTGCCAGTCCCTGGCCCAACAAACAATAAGCATGTTTCAAAAGTGTCCTCATTGATTAAGACATTTGATAAGACTGCAGACCAAGGGTCAGGACGTTCTCTGACAGCAAATAGGCAACCCATAAAGAATAGCTTTCAAAAACATAAAATAAATCATGGAAATTATATTGCTTGCTGGGATGATACAGACACTTTAAGCATCCACCAGGAACTTTCTGAATTTTCTGAACCTGGCCAGGGTAGTCACTGTCTCAGTGGCAAACATGAGCCACAGGAAAGACCTAATAAAGTGGACATGGGTTATGGTGGCTCTGATGGTTATTATCCTGTCCTGATTGAGATGTCAAAAGTAGCCAAGTCAAATTTTTCCCGTTCTTCTAAAAAGGCTTTAAAAAACAGAAATGTGAAAGTTAATGAGCCAGCAAAAAAAGGTAATTTTCTTCATAGTGAGAATAGTGCTTTTGAATCATGGAATGTTCATCATAAAAAACTGACTGAAAATGAGGAATTTGTTGATATAAAAATGAAAAAGGAAGGTCTTTCATACCTGGAAGAAGAACCATTTATTAAAGGATCCCGCACACATGAACGTAAAGTATCACCTGTCACCACTGTTGCTAAGAAGCAAGAGAAAGATTTTCGGATTAAGCCAATTCCACCAGAAACTGCCTTCCCTCTCCCAGCTGTATATGTACCTCAAGGTCCCCTCCCTTCAGAAAATAAATTTCCTGCTGCTTTTCCTCCCACACCTCCTCCTAGAAACCATGCACATCAAGGTCCCCCTCGGCCACCCCCAGCCACACAGGCACTTCCTCCTCCACCCCCCACCCAGGAGGGCCATCCTCCCACACCCCCTACCTCTGAAGCCCCTCCTGTGCCACCACCCCCAGTGCCAGCTCGGCTTTCCCCCACTGCCATGTCTCAAGCCTCTGTCTCACCCCAGTCCGTGTCCTATAGGATGGTTTCACCCTCACTCACGTTCCAGGCACCCAGCCCACCTCCACCAAGACCCCAACCCATCTTAACTGAAAAGGAATCCCCCAGCCCCCAGCTGGGCAATACCTGTCCACCCTGGAGAAGACAGAGGTTTGCAGAAGGGGCAGCAGAGAGGAGACAGGCTGCAAAGGAGAAGTTCACAGACAGACACAAGACATGTTCTTTGTCTGAAAAGCCAACTGGTGCCGAACCTGATTTGGATGTGACTCCTCTGGCTAAACAGGTAAACTCCCCTAGATCAATCAGTCCCTCTTTCAACATCAGCGAACTCTTAACACCTGTCATACCACCAAAACAGGAAGTGGACACTGTTGAAAGTGAGCTGATCCCACTGACACCTCCTCCTGCTGAGAGCATGGCATCGAGAGACCATGAAGAGAGCAGCTTGGGTGATTATAGGTCTTGGGATAGTTACAAATTAACAGCATCAAGCCTGTTATTCAACTTGAAGGATGTGCGTAAACGTGTTAAAAGCATCTATACCCCTTCTCCCCTTTTAAGGGCCTTGGAGGAGAAAAATAAAACTCGGGAAAATATACAGGAGAGTACAAAAGTGAATGCCTCACTCTCGACTTTGCATGAAAAAAGTAACAAAAATCTTACAGAGAAAGATGAATTGAGTGATATAGCTTCCGTATTGTCTAGCAGTGTTCAGGAAAAGGACAATAAAACTGACCCAACCGGACACTTTACAGACAATTACCTGACTTCGAGGTCACCCAAGCCAACAGCAGACCTTTCCTTTTACCAAACTGGAGACAGCTTGCAGCAAGATGATTCAAAACATGAAGATCTGGTTAAAAACACAAGGGATAATGAAAACTTCTCCTCGTTCAGACATGAATCACATGAACCTGATATAGGAAAACATCTGCAGTATCCAGCCCAGAGACCGTTCAGTAGAAACAATGGGGACAAAACACCTGGGCAGCCCATGCAAAATCACAGTGCCCAGGATGAGGAAGATGAGAGACAAGCTGCTATTCAGAATGAAAATTTTGCCTTCAAAACACTCCTAAGCCAACTCTCACCGGTAGAAGATGTACCTTACAGTGACGCCCAAACCACCATTGTGGTACCTGGCCATGAAGCACAACGCAAAAGAAGCACTAGTTCTTCGGAGCAATCTTTTGTCTCCACAGTAGAGCAGCCACTTCAGGGAGAGCCATTTCTACAAGTGCCCATGATGCAGACAGCATGCTTTCAAGAAAGCCAGAGGACTGAGAGTGAAATGAGTGCAGATAGTAAGAAAAGACTCAAGGAGAGAGGGAAAGAGGTTGGTGAAGATGAACTGCAATATTGTGCTTGTATCAGCCCTGGTATTAGTGCTACAGAGAAGAGGGAGAGAAAGGTTACTGGGAATGAACAGAAGAGCTTAATGAAAGAGCAAGTAGAGAGAGAGAAAAGGGAAGAGGCCAACAGCACAAATTCTGCTTCCTACAGTATAAGGGATATGTCAATCCCCAAGTGTGAGGAACCACAAACACCATCATCTTCAAGCTCAACCAAACCCAGCCTGTTTATGATTAAAGATAACACATTCAGGTCACCTCAAGTAATAAGGGCTGTCAAGCTGCCCCTATTCAGGTCCTTTTCCCTGGACGATACCGTTAGCAGTAGTTATAAGGAAATGGAACGTAGGTTTATGCCCCCAGGAGTTTACAACAAGCAGAACCAAAACTTGTTGCATGCCCAGGAGATAGGCTGGTCGGCATCAAGACACAAAGGTCAGCAGAATGTGAGAGATGGAGCAACTGACAGAGGGAAAGAAGCCAGTGAGCCTGAATCTACTTCAGCAACACTGGCTCCCCATCTTCTGGAAGGTACAGAGACCTTTTCATTAGGGAAACTGATGGAAGAAGATAGAAAGACTTTTGTTTTGTTAACTAAAGGTGGCAAAATGAATGAGGAAAGTGTCTGCAGAAATAAGGAGAAAGCTCAGACTACAAAGGCAAGACACAGCTTAACACAGCCAACTATAGGTCTGGAAAATGACCGAGCACAAAACAGCCCCAGCTATCCTGCAGAAATTAAAACGAACTACTTTAAGAATCATCATTTATCTAACCGCAAAGGTGGCTCTTGTGCGAAAAAAATAATCACTAGGGAGACAATTTCCCCTGTGACTGGCCCCATATCAGAGGACCACACATATTCTTCTGTATCCAATGATGTTTTAGAGGACATCCTACATACAGAAGGTGCACCGGTTTTGTTAGACAATCTTACATGTTCTGCTGTTCCAAGCCCCAGGTCAGGCAGCACGATGCCCTCTCTTGCTGCCAGTTCATTGTCAGATAAACCAACTATTTCTGGACTTAGAGAGACAGAGGATGTTATAAACCCTGCCTTGCTGAACATGGCACTAAGGAGGCAAGCTTGTATGCCTGCAGAAGAGATACCCAATTCAGCACAGAAGAACCTGCTTTCTGATGTTGCAGGCGAAGCTGGGAGGCTGGAGTCCGAGGGACTTGGTGAGAGACCAACAGGCAAGCCACCCACTGTGCCACCAAAAACAGAAAAAGCTCTGCGTCGGGCTAAAAAGCTGGCAAGCAGGAGAAAGAAAATGCAAGAGCAGCAGAAAAAACATCAGATTGAGCATACAGATGCTGTAGGGAGAAATCCTTCTCATTCTGGACAGACAATAGCATCTGCTTCACCCTTGGGACATTCTCCTATCCATCCTCACCTTCACTCAAGTTTTACTCCCACAGAAACTAGTACTGGAAGACCTAGTGTTGCACCAGCAGTAAGCCCTTCACCCTCTTCAACCCAGCGTAAACTCCTCCAAGACCCTGACTCTGGCCAATACTATGTGGTTGATTTACCAGCTGAAGTTAATTTAAAGACATTTTATGACCCAGAAACTGGCAAATATGTTCAAGTCTCAATCCCTTCCTTGGAACAGAATTTATACCAGTCCACCTCTTCAGAAATTAACGATTCTTCCTATGCCTCTTACCCTAGAGTGTTTCCTTTACCAGCTTCATCAGTAGCAGTGCTGAAGTCACCCTCTCAGCTCTCTAAACCTACCTGGTCGATGCCTGCTGTACCAGAACCAGCTGAACTACATGAAGATGTCCAGCAGGACTACAGATACACTGAATCTGTGGACACTCAGCCCTATATTGAACCAGCCCCTTACTCCTACAGTCAAGATGCCGAAGAAATTCAGGTTCACTTAGGAAAGGACATGAGCGCAACCCCAAATACTGGCATAGTGACCCTCACTGATTTAGATGATTTTGCTGCTGAAGGAGTATCTTGAAAACTGAAATAACAAAATATGCCAGCTAGTGTTTTTAAGAACTGTTTGGACAGACACATGCACACAAAAGCACATGCAGGTTTGATGTTTGTACACTTTGTCTGAATCTCATTGTGGTTTGGGTGGGAAGGAAAGTGAAAGCTGACCATGTTAAAAGATGCAAGGTGATGAGCACTCTCAACAAGAGTGAAATTTAGGAAGCACCAAATTATCAGTGAGATGAAGGGGCAATGCCAGCTAGACAAATACATTTGACAGTGTGAAGCCACTGCTTGCTGCTGCTGCTGTTTTGCCATTAAGGAGGCTGGGATAGCCAAAGCAAGTGCCCTTTTGCCCAGATGTGTTGCATGACACAAGACAAAATAAAACTGTGAGACCATCCTATCCATCCTATGAGACCCATGACAGATGCTGCATCTACTGAACTTTCCTCACTCACTGCCTTTGAACTATATTGACAGGTAGAAAGTATGTGGCTACAAATATGCCATATTTTCAAGACTCATTTTTTACACACATCAATTGCCTCAACGTTATTGACAAGAAGATTGTATACTAGATGCACAATACAGCAACCATGTCAAAAAATCCCAAATTTTAAACAACCAGAATACAGTTGCAGCTGCTCTTCTCACATACTTTTGCAGTGTCCACTAACATGCTGCTGAATTCTTTATATTTCTTGATAATATCCAAATAGGTTCCCCCAGGGTCAGGGTTTATTTATAATGCAACTTAAATCTTGATACTTGGCCTGAAATATTTTGGTTAGTTGCAAGGTTGAATGAAATCCCATAACAGTATTTAATTGTATATTAGGACAAGAAGTTCTTTGCTTACTGTAATTGAAATGTGCTTTGTTTTGTTTTCAGGCTCCCACTGAATGGCACTAACTTCTAAAACCTGAAAAATGTGCCTAATTTTGATCTTGTGAATTCTGTGATTTAAAACAAACAAAAGATGCAAAACATCCAAAGTAATAATTTCTAGAAAAGTGTTTCTTGGAATTATCATTTTTCTTTAACAAAATATCACTCATCCTTGTGTAAGCTCTTTTTCATTATCATAGATAATGAGGGAACCTAGGTGAAAAGATGAAAAAGTTGAATGTAATGTGCCTGCTTATAAATATCTGTATTTGGAATATTGGTTTAGGTTTTTTCTGTCTCATTTGCATACTGTTTTCCCCAGTTAAAACTGAAGTGCAGAAGCTTTCAAGAAGAATTAAGCCAGTGACTTTCAGCCTGATTCACATCTTAGGGTGTTTTCACAGGATTGCTTTCAGTGAAGCAGCTTCTGACTTCCTGAAAAGAAAGGGAAGATTTGGGCCTTTTAATAAATAGTATTAAAAATTAGTAAATATTAAATACAATATGAAGATGGGACACAGGCACTGCTCTACTCTCCTTATGCTAATATTTATGGCAGAGGTTTTCGGTAAATTTCCCAGGATTGAGGCTGCTCTCAGGACACAGAGCAACACTTGGTGCTTTGACTCCTTCCTTAGTCTGAATTCAGCTCTCAGCCTTCCTCCATCCCTGACAAAAGCCATTATTCACAACCTCTCCTGATCCCACCAGACACTTCCTTTCATCAGTGCCATTTGCTAAAATATTTCCTTTAGAGGTGCTAGACAAATACTAAGGGCATTGCTTCACTGATTTCAGTGGGGTTTGAATTTAGCCTTTAATGATTTTCTGAGATTCATTTCACCTGTTAAACATTTTGTGATTTGGTAGGTTTGGTTGCAGCAGGGGTGTGGAGTGGAAATGGAGAAGCTTGTACTGGTATGGTTTGGGTTTTGAGCATATTCAGCCAAATGCCCATATTTGAATAAACATTTAATCTTCAATCTCCACCCTTGAAAGTTTTCAACACCTGAATGGATAAAGCCCTGAACGACCTGAGCTGGCCTCCAAACTGACCCTCCTTGAGCAGGAGGTTCATGCAGAGAACTGAGATCTTTTGCAGCCTGAATTAATCTATGATCCTGTTCTGCTAACATTAGAATTTTTAAATCAACTTTGACTTGGAACTCAGAAAATACCGTCTCCCCTGGGAAAGAGCTCTTTTTGAAATAAATAAATAAAAAAATTTGAATATCAATATTGTTTCAGGAACAAAGATTAATTTTCAAGTTGTTAAATGGCTCTTATAAAAATTTTTTTTTCTTCTTTTTTTTTTTTGATCACAAATATTTTGTTAAACTGATGGTGCTGTTCATGTTGCACTTCTTTGTCACACTATAGAGCATAATGTCTATCCAGTATAGAGCAGAATCTAATCCATGTTAAAATATAGACAAATAGATCTATGAGGTTTCCATGGTACGTTTAGACAAAACCTATGTAATCTGAAAGCCTAGCAGAGTGTACAAGCAATTTTTTTGTGTATGATATTACAAATTTAAATGCCCTTAACAGCCACAAGTCAAGAAGTAGTCTCTCAGAGGACAGGATAAACACTTGCTTTCCAAGGGAAGACTATGGATACAAAGTATCTGTGCACATATAAAAAAATAAATGTTAATTTGATAACAAAAATGTATGACTGTATTGAAAAAAATCCCTTTTACTTTGTTAACTGTCATTTGTTTTGTAGATATGCACACTTCTGCACCTTTTTATGAAGGGTCTTCTTGAAATTATTGTGGAGAATGGGATGCTCCATTCCACTACTTCTGTGTATGTGAGGAAGGCAGGGAGTACTTTTCACTCTGCTGTGAAGGTAAACTGAAACATGGGCACCTCAAAAGGAGTCCTAACTTGAATATCTCATACATTTCAAGTAGGACTTCTTCATTTTGGTCTACCATTTCTGCTAGCTTCAGGGAGCTGCATTTACAGTGGAATATGTCTCTGAACATGTCCCAGAGGGAGTTTTGACATAATTTGTAGCTAAACTGTTGTAGCAAGGTGGGGGGTCTTCTCCAAGGTAATAAGTGATAAGACCTGAGGAAATTACCTCAAGTTGCTCCGTGGGAGGTTTAGATTAACTACTAGGGAAAATTTCTTCACTGAAGGGGTGTTCAGTCATTGGAATAATCTGATTGGGGAAGTGGTAGAATCACCATCCTTGGAAGTGTCCATAAGGTGCGGTGAACACGTGGTGCGAGATTGACTGCTGGACTCAACTATTTTAGAGGTCTTTTCCAACCTTAATGATTCTGTGAAATTAAACAAACAGAACAGATGAGAAAGTGGTTCTTTTCATGCATCCAGAGCTTTCCCTAGAGCACTTTGCCACAGGGATTGAATGATATTATAAACACAGTATGTTTGTGTGTTAAAAGGAAGACAAATTACACCTTTGGAATAACAAATATTTTTCTTTCCTTTCCCTTTTCTGTTTGTCTTTGTTGGGGGGATATTTTCCATTGTTACTGTGGGAAACAAGGCTGGAAGAGGTCAACACTATGCAAAATGACAGCTGTGAATTGACCCCTTTCTTTGGAGGAGGGGTGCTATGGGAAATGTGCAATAGTCATGAAAGCAGTTGTAGGAAAGCACTGTTTCATGACAGTGACATTAAATCATAGATTAAAGAGGTATTGAGGCAAACGAAACTAAATTCTGCCTTGCCAGCAGATGGGGATTAGGACTAAAGAACACAGCAGTTTTTTTCCATGTGTGGAAGCATAGTAGGCTGAAGGTAACAGAGGGCAATGTTTTCACTGTTTCCTTCTCCTGCAGGTGGCCTTTTTGCATGTTGCATTTCTTGGTGCCCTGAGGCTTTTTTTGCAGTGATGATTCTTCCTTGGCAGATGTGGCTGAGGTCAAACCTGACTTACACCTAGTCTTTGATTCTAGGGACAGAACTTCCTCCTTTTGGACCTCCTCCTTCTGGAGCAACTGCAATGCCTCCAGTCCAGCTGTCACATGGCAGACTTGGACTGCAATCCCACAGCCATGGCTTTGTCCCAAGGCCTTGAATTTCCTTGTGCAAAATGCTGGATTTTATTTATTTTTTTTTTAGAGAATTCGGTTTAATTAAAATGGCCTATGGGCATGGATTATGCCAACTCCTCCTTGGGTGTTCAGTGCCTTCCTAAGTAATTTGTTCAAGAAGATGTGTGTCATTGGCACGTTCCATCAATGCAACTGTATTTGCAAATAGGCAATTATTTATTAATTAATAAACAAAATAAATGGGACTTGTTCTGCAATACTGGAACGCATTTTAGCCAGCTTTTTCATTGTAATTATATGTCTTTGTAATTTTGTCTCCAGTTATGCTGGCAGAAAATGTTGACAAGAGGGAATTGCGTGTGTGCATGTGTGTGGTACACAATTAAAAGATATAGGAGATGACAGGGTGCATGGCTCCATCCCCCTTCCTCCTGCTCCTAAAGAGAGAGAGCAGAAAGCTGGGCAAAAACACCTTTAGTCCAGGACTCCTGAGGTCATTCTCGCCCCTCCCTGCTCTGCAAGGACAGTGGTCTGGCCAGAGGACCTTGGGAATGTGGTGCCAGCACCCAGTCCAAAAGTACTGGAAGAGGATGACCTTCTTACCACCACCCCGAAGGCATCAGGGCTTTTGTATTCCCTATGCCCCATCCATCTGGGGGAAGTTACCAGGAGTGTAACTTGCTTTATTTCACATTTCTCCTCAGTATCTCTTATTGTATGTTGCGTTATTAAACACAACAAGGACTCTTCTCAATGTGCTTTTGGCTCAGTCCTTGTCCAGACTGTCAATTTTATTTAGGTCCATTCTGCTTTGGTCCCTGACTAGCCAAGAAGTCCTTGCTGACAGCAAAAGTGTTACTGTGATTTGCATATAACAGACCATAAAGAGAAGAGTTGGCTAGTTATGGTTTATGCCAGAACTACACTGAGAGGTTTGCATATATGTATTTGGGGGATATACTCTGTTTCCTTTCTGAGTAAATAAAGAACTCTAAGTTTGATCCCCTCTCTCACTCAAAAGCAGCATCAGAAGCTGGTGATATCGTACCTGATGGGTTACATGGGCTCTAGTGAATACATGTAAACGTGTAATTTGGAGGAACTGATGTACATCAGTCATTTTTATTAAAGAAACTCTGCTTCACAGCCTTATAGGAGATAGAAAGAACGTAGAACACTTCAGTAAATTGAACCTGAATGTGGGGGTTTTTCTTTTTTTTTTTGTAAAATGCTCATTATAACAGCAGAGGTCAATGATTGTTTTATTTTGTCTTTAGGATGACTATTTGGGTCTTACAATGATCTCACATTTACCACTGTCCCCTGGTATTAAACATAATATTGTAATTATGGGGTTTAAATGGACAGGGAATGGCTAAAAATGACCTGTGGTCTTCCCTTGCTTCTTTTGATATTCTCAAAGTTTTCATGATGTTGATTTTTCACATTACATAGTCAGGTCTTTGGTACTCTATGGCCAATTAGAGACTTGTTTCTAATATGTTATTGAACATACTTAGAAAGCAGCATTTCAATAGCACAGAAGAGAAATCATTTATGTCCCAATTGACTAAAGCTCTGTGTTTTTATTAAAGCAGATTTAACTCAAGCCTTTGGGGAAGCAGCTTGCAGTCCTTAAACATACACACTTTCCCGTGTCAAAGTCCATATTGAATAAAGTGAGACCTGGAGTACTTTGAAAGAAGGAGAGTGGGAAGACTCTGTGAGAAGCGGGGGCAATCTTTGAAATCTTTCTAGCAATGGAAAGAAGTTGATTTCCAGCAAAAAGTAAAAAAAAAATGTTCAAAGCTGGAGATGCACTTTGAAAAGCCAGGGATTGTCAAAGACAAAGCTGCCTGACAGGCTGACTCTTCCCTGTGCTGGCTTGGACTCCTTTATCCTGGAGCTCCCCAGAGTGTTCACACTCCTGCCCACTGTCATTCAGTGTCAGAGCCTCATCACACCTGTCCCTTTGGTTGCTTAAAACTGGCACAGGGAATGGCAGCATTCAGGGCACAAAGAATGGAATTACTGCCATGCCAGAGTTGTCAGTGTTGTCACCAACAACATGAAGCATTTCAGGTGAGCTAAGGTGGCCTTCAGGATCTTCCTTACATTGACAGACCACAGATGGCAGACAGAGGCTGAGATAAACATTGATCCTTCTTTCTGTTCCTAGCACTGATAAGCTGTGGGGGATGAGAAGTGGACATGGCCCAAGAGAGAGTCTTTCTTTGATTGCACTGAAATTGCTCAAAGTCTGTTGGCAGAATCAGTTTCTGCTGGCAAGCACTGACTGCCTGAACAGGTCCCCTGAGACTGCATCTCTTCCCAAGGAACGTGGGTGAAAACATTCCTACACTATTCTATGCCAAAACTGTCTGTGCTATTTGAAGTTTTCAAAAGAAACAGTCAGAAAAAACAAAAGGAGAAT